ACTAATCCCATGCAGAAAATGACAACTGAAGATACAGAATGTCTTCAATAAAAAGTATCAGATTTGATTTGTGTGGTTCTACTCAAAATAGCAGTTTTTCGGTCTGCCCATCTTCAGGAAGAATACAATCTCAGGATAGATAATTTAACCAGGAAAGAAGAATAACCATTTTTACTCCATAGTAACACCTCCTTTCATCCATACATCTAGTCTCTACTATCCTAACTCGGGAGAATAGAAACACTAATTATAAATATGAAACAACAGTGAATTTAACATGACAGTACACTGTAAGTTGAATTCATATTTCAATTGTGGGTAAGAACAGAAGACAATGAAACTAATGATTTAATTTGTTACCAATGCAAGGCTGAAAATCTGAGATGTCAATAAAGTGTCTCGATTTGGGACTTTAGATATGAGGCAACTTTTCTGTAATTTGTGGAGCTATAATTTATTTAATGAATTGAAATATTGATTTTATACTACGATGTATAAGTTGAGATGACATTGGCATCTGTACAAGTTTAATGGTAGACACCCTTTTTACTTGATTACACACTGTTCATGCACATTTCTTATATTAAATTCTGCTTAACTTTTACACTTTCTAAATAAGTAAAATGTAGTCGCTCATTTAAAAAACATGTTTTAATTTGCTGTCTATTCATCATAGAAGGTGAGCTCATTGTTTCCACACAATGTCCAAATCAGATACAGCAGTGAAATTTAATGGAAGATTTTATTAGACTGGTTAGGTGATAAAACTGTGCATTGGGTGCATGCTATTTTGTACAATATTTATAATGAATAATGACATTTAAAATTGTTCCAATTAAAATGAGGAGCTCTCAAGAGCAAAACTTCCTATTGAATTAAAAAAGTGGATTTACCAATATGTAGTTTTCCATTTAACACAGTTTTGAGAGATGTCACAGCAATAGCTTAGGCTCATGAATCTCACACACCAAACACTATTTAAATTCTGCTTATCCTATATTTAAAAGAGAAAAAAATGTATATGTCTTCTCCTAAATATAGCCAGAATTAGCAGAATGTTGGATTTCCAGAAATGGAGATTCAGTAGTTAGAATTCGGAATGAAAGAAATGGGAATGATATTTTCCAGGATGGGGCTATATAGATATGACCAATAGTTTATTAGTTTGAGATAAAATAAGTTTAACATCAATGTCTGGATCAGGAATTTTGCTAACTGAAATGAATTCTGCACACTGTGCTCCTCTCGGCACAATTCCCTTAGACATATAGACACAAGTTTAATTGGATAAATGAAAGGACAGAAAATGTTCATGAATTCTGCTTCCATTCTTTCAAAGTGAAGGTAGGCAGCAATATTTAATAAGACCTTAAAAATATTTTACTTTTGATTCAGGAATTCCAGTGCTAGCAATCAATCAGTACTAAAGAATGAATCCATATTCCATGCGAGTTTTATGAACAGTGTCATGCAAAATTAGAACAAATTAACCCTAAATGTACAGTGTAGCATAATAGCTGACTTTGTATATGGAGTCAACTAAATATGGATCTTTTGAAGGACCATCACCCCAAATTATTTTGCAGCATCAATATTGTGTACATTATGAAATTAGAAATATAAGAAAAAAGTTCTGTAAATCCATACAATAAAATCATGTTTAAAATTAGAAAACTGGAGGAGAGCGTTGTATCTGGGGGGGAATGGCTTCAACAAGGATTATTTTGGTAAACAAGAGGTAAAAAGCAAACTAAAATATTGGTAATGACAAGCATAGCTCTCCATAATTAAGACAGCCTTTAAATGCCGCTTTATTAGCTTACACTCAAATTAACAGTATTTATCCATTTCCTCATGGTGTGAGGAAAAGAAATGAATGTAAAATGTAATAATTTCAATTTCAAAGCTTTAAGGTACCACTAAGTGCTAAGTCCCCGGAGGTGATCTTTTTCAAGGTGGGCAGCCAAGCCGTAGGTGCTTGTCATTCCGCAGGCTGCGCAGGTAAGGTTTCAGTGGACCGTTCTCACACAGAAAGAGAAGGAAGGACGTGTCTGAGCCTCCTCACCTTTGCTATTCACTGCTTAGACTATCAGTTAGTATTTCCAGAGAGCCAATTTCATATGTTGGATCAAAAAGTTAATGATACATACCTAATTCTACATTGGTATATTTTCATGTCTGTAAATTTATTTTTGAATCAGTTTTAATAAATAAAAACAAGTATTTTATCATAAAATATTTATCTCAACATCGTTCATAGCATTGCAAGTAGAAATCAATGAATGATCTTGGGTCATTTAAATGCAATAGATTATGTTTACTGATTGGGTATTAAACAGGTATACAATTAATATTCTAAAATAATATTGAATATTAATCCACTAAAATTATGTTATAAAATTCCCCTAAATTATTCCTTAAATATTACATATATACTTAGATGTGAGTAGGTATGTTTATCTGTGGACCAGGTAGTTAGTTTTACCCTTTGATTACAATCTATAGAAGAAAATCTTAAATTTTTAATATAAATATGACCAACTAAGAATGTAGAGTGATGGGGTTATAGATATTTTTATCCATTATTCATTTAAGAATTTTCCACATTTTCATTCTGTATCTATAAGTGTGGCAATAATATATTTTTAAAATGACTTATACATTAGATATTATATTGTCACAAAGGGGATACAAATTAATAAAATTGCATGTGTGTGTGTTTCTGTGCTTGATTATATTTACTTGACTTTACCTGAAGACTCGATTAATTTTCACCACATTATTAAATGTACGTAAAAAAATCATGCAGCTCCATTCGCTTCTCTGTAAGGCAAACCACAAACCACAGACTCCCTGAACTGTAACCACAACTGATGGATGTGTTTCTACCTCTGCGAAAACTTTGTTATCATCTCCATAGACAAGAGAAAGAGACATATCTGCTCTCTATGAAGTCAGTCTTCTGAATATTGAAGAAATAATGAATTAGAATTCACATCAATCTTTTTTAACTAGGAGACAAAAAGATATTCTCTCTACGCTTAGGAAGAACCCTTGTCACATGCATTAGAACCTAAATTTACATCACAGCCTGCTCCCCCATCTTCCTTCTTTATTTTTGAATAGATTGTCTTTTTCTTGGAATTGCACTTACAAAGTTGAATTGCACATTTCATATTGCTTCTATATATCTTAGAAATAACCGCACAATGTATATAATCTTGAACATTTGGGTATTTATACAATTTTGAAAATGTAAACTACTGGGATCTGAAAATTCAACAGGATGCCATTAAAATATTGGAAATTGATATTTTATATTTTGAGCTAGAATTCTGACAGCTTTTTGATTATAACAAAGTGTACTTTAGCTATAAAAATTTAATCAGATAAGGCAATTTGTAAGTGAAACTTCTTTCAGTTCTCACCAACAAGAAAATGTTCTTAATCCCACCATACCAATACAGTCCTTCTAATAGATTGATATCAAATTATCCACAATTTTATTTTTATACAAACATATACAACTTTTTGGAACATAGTGTGATAATGATGCACAACCTATAATCTGTTATTCCATCTTAATAATGTATTATAAAATCAATCGACATCAATTCTATGGAAATAATATATGCTCCAAATTATTTACATCAGTTATTACTAAAACTAAAGTTAAAATTATGGCCAATTGTTTTATTGGCATATAGCTGGAACACATTTTAAAGTTTAAGTTATTGGGGCAAGAATGTGAAAAGTCAAGACACTAAGTTGTACAAAACATATATATATATGTATATGTATATGTATATATATAGATAGATGTAGATTATGGTAAAAATTTGAGAATATGTTCAACTCAAGAATGCTCTAAGAAAATATAATAGGGCTGGTTTGGAAAAGGAATCTTCTACCAGATTTATATTTATCCATATTTTTTAGCTTTAAATTGAGTCTTGACTAGTGTTTTTGAAAAATTCTCATAAGAGGTTCCAATTGAAAAAAAATATATAGAATATCTCTCTAAAGCAGTTTAACTTAGGAAACTTAGAATAAAGGTTCCCGGGGGGTCGAGTGTGTGTGTGTGTGTGTGTGTGTGTGTGTGTGTGTGTGTGTATGGTGGGGGTGGCATGAAAAAAAGCTGGTGTCAAGTGCAGGAAGAAAGAGAAAGTTTTGAAACTGCTAATGGTAGCAATTATACAATACAGTGTGATGTGATTGAAATATGGAATGATATAACTGTATTAGCTCTCAATACAATGGTTTAGGAAAAAATGAGGGACAAAAAAGAAACTTGTAAAGTCTCATGAATGTTGGCCAATGGAAATTAAATACAATTTGACTCATCAACATGGTCCTATTTAATAATTTACTTATAAATATTTAAATTTTCTATACTAAATAATATCTATTTATATTATATGACAATTAAACAAACTTGAAGAAATTAAAATTCTGTTGAAGTATGGGGAAAATATTTTGGCCTACTTTAGTTAGCAAGTCTTTAGAAAAAATGGTGTCATCTATTTGAGAACACAGCAAAGAAGAAAAATGATTTAATCGCTGTTAAAATTCTGCGTTATATTTCCATATTAAACTCTCAGATTGTAAGTACTTAAAACCTTTACATCCCCTCGTATATACTCCTTGTACAAAATAGCATGCATTGCTGAATGAAAAGTTAAAAAAAACAAACCTCTACCTTGTCCTCAGATCTTCGAACGTTGGGTCTATTAAATTCTATATTCCATGGGTAACCCTTCATTGCTGGCATGTAGGATTCATTAAATTTAATAAAGTGTGAGATTGTTTGGTTGGAAGTTACAAGTGTGGATAGAAGTGCTCTGCCTACGGGATCTCTCTTTGGGTTCAGTGGATGATTGACTAAGTTGCATAATAATTGGCTTTACATGGAGGAAGTTTGGGTACAAACACTACTGAAATCAGGCCATCAAGATCATGAAGACAACATGACCGAATGATAGAAAGAAATGGGCACTTACCAGGACCAGAAACATAGCTATGTGGTGGAATTCTCCACGACCCCCTTGCTTAACAGGAACTGTCATAAAGAATTTGCTGCTGTCTCTAGAAAACACAGGCTCTTCATTCTAAAATATAAGAAAGTATATAAGGATCCTAAAATGGCATTTAAAATATGAGGTGCCGGCCATAATATTTATAAGCAAAGTGTTAATATCTGTTCTAATTCAGTAAGTAATGTCATAAAAATTCATAAAGGTCTGTAAAATTCAATATTTAATATATTTAGATATATTATATTCAATAGCTCTAATTGCATGAATGTATATTTCTGATGGTGTATCCACATATGTACTAAAAATATAAAAAATTGAGGAACCCACAGATATCTTTAAGTCTAATTTCACATTCTCACTGCTCACCTCACACACAGAAAGGGTCCCCCAAACTGTTAGTCCTAATTCAATGATTGTAAAGTAGATTTTGATGGAAAAGTAAATGAATTAAAGTATTTTTGTTAAACAAATGCTAGAAGCTATGCATATAGTTTGCTTCAGCATGGTTCAAGGAAGACAGTAAGAAAATTAATTACCTGACAGCACATTAAGTCTTTCCTTTCTGGGTGAGTGTGAAAGACTTTAGTATAAAAGCAGGCCTATTTAGATGAACTAGCCTTTCCGTGGCTTTCTGATATGGTTTCCTTCCTAATGGCTGCTCTTGTCACTGGGCTCCTGCATGCCTCAGGACCTTTACACTTTTTTTAAGCTGCTTTAATTATTATTTTTAATCATTTTATTAGGGGCTCATACAACTCTTATCACAATCCATACATACATCAATTGTGTAAAGCACATTTGTACATTTATTACTCTCAGCATACTCAAAACATTTGCTCTCCTCCTAAGCCCCTGGCATCAGCTACTCATTTTTCCCCTCCCTCCCCGCTCTCCCCTCCCTCATGAACCCTTGATAATTTATAAAATTATTTTGTCATATCTTGCCCTGTCCGACGTTTCCCTTCACCCACTTTTCTGTTGTCCATTCTCCAGGGAGGAGGTCACATGTAGATCCTTGTAATCGGTTCCCCCTTTCTAACCCACCCTCCCTCAACTTTCCCAGGATTACCACTCACACCATTGGTCCTGAAGGGATCATCTGCCCTGGATTCCCTGTGTTTCCAGTTCCTATCTGTACCACTGTATATCCTCTGGTCTAGCTAGATTTTTAAGGTAGAATTGGGATCATGATAGTGGTGGGGGAGGGGGAGGAAGCATTTAGGAACTAGAGGAAAGTTGTATGTTCCATCGTCGCTACCTCGCACCCTGACTGGCTTGTCTTCTCACCGAGACCATTCTGTAAGGGGATGTCCAGTGGCCTACAAATGGTCTTTGGGTCTCCATTCTGTACCCACCCCCCCATTCACTATAAGACTTTTTGTTCTGATGATACCTGATACTTGATCCCTTCGACACCCCGTGATTGCACAGGCTGGTGTGCTTCTTCCATGTGGGCTTTGTTGCTTCTGAGCTAGACAGCTGCTTGTTTACCTTCAAGCCTTTAAGACCACAGATGCTATATCTTTTGATAGCCGGGCACCATCAGCTTTCTTCGCCACATTTACTTATGCACCCATTTGTCTTCAGCGGTCATATCATGGTGGTGAGCACACAGTAGTATGATTTTTTGTTCTTTGATGCCTGATAACTGATCCCTTCAGCACCTCATGATCATGCAGGTTGGTGTGCTTCTTCCATGTGGGCTTTGTAGCTTCTGAGGTAGATGGCCGCTTGCTTACCTTCAAGCCTTTAAGACCCCAAACACCATATCTTTTGATAGCCGGGCACCATCAGCTTTCTTTATCACATTTGCTTATTCACCCGCTTTGTCTTCAGTGGTTGTGTTGAGAAGGTGAGAATCATAGAATGCCAATTTAATAGAAGAAAGTATTCTTGCTTTGAGGGAGTACTTGATTTGAGTCCCGATGTCCTTCTGCTACCTTAACACTAAACCTATAAATATACGCACATAGATCTATTTCCCCATCCTCATATATAAGGGCATTTATAGAGGTATAAATAAAGGCATATATATATATATATATATATATATGGAACTTTACACTTTTAACGAGCACTGTCTAGCAAATTTTCTTTTCTTTCTTCTGGTGTCTGTTCCGATGATTAATGTGATGTTCCCTAATTATGAAAGGGGTTATCAGAGAAATCAGATCACTCAATCCTCCTTGGCATTCCTTGAACTTTTGCCTTTTATTTTCATAGCTACAGAATTTATTCTGACTTGTAGCAACCCTACTGGGCATAACAGAACTGCTCCATCTGAAGTCCAAGTCTATAAAATTTGATGGAAGTAGATTAACACATATTTCACCACAGAGAAACTAGTGAATCTGAGTCACTGACCTTGCAGTTAGCAGTCTAATGCTTAACTATTCTGCTGGGTTTTTGTTGTTCCTTAACAGATAATGGGATCTATTACATTTTATGCATGTTTGTATGCATGTATATATGCATTCAAATAGTTTTCTTCTAGAACATACGTTATTTTTACAAAGAACACATATATGGCCCATTTTGGGCAAACCCCCTTCACATATTAATTTCTCATTTGTGGTCTATGAGTTCTGTACATTTATTAGAGTGGTTACATGTGAAATAATACAGTAAGCACTATGAGGAAATAACCTTTTCTTTATTATTGCTGTATTTCTAGCACCTGGTATAGTGATTGTCATATAACTTGAGTTCAAAAACTTCTTAGTGAATGAATAATTATTGTACTACTCTGGTGAGTCTGAATCTAATCTTGGGGGTATAAATGTTTATTGGCACAATAAACATTAACTATCTCAGTCAGGAAACAAAAACTATGCATGACCCTACTGATATTTGAAACACAGTGACATAGCTACCAGCCTGACAGCAACACACAAGCCACCACAGTATGTAAAGTGACAGGCAAGTCATGGTAGGGAGTTACCATCTTCTTGCTGAATGATTGAATTCATGCATAATATCAGCAAATATATTTTTTATATCACCCGATCCATCACATTTATTTAAAATTACTAACTCCTAATTTACTCATCATTTTCCCCTTGTGCATCTCTCCTCCCCTAATGTTGGGATTATAGAAGTGAGTCAGAAAAATAATGCATTAGAGCCGCAATGTAAAAGGCAAAACTGAACAATAAATCACCACAAACAGAGTTCCATGCAAATATTTCCCCAGGATGAAATAAAGAAGATGGAAACAATATCACTCTATACTTTTATGATGAAATGCAAGTCACAGTGCTTATGACACACAGGGCAATGGGATATCTATAGAAAAACTCTACCTTTAAACCAAAATATTTTACTTACATACTGTGACCTCAAATGTATCTCTTTGGAAAGATAGACCAAACATTTTCACTTCCTATTACCCAGGGGTGAGCTCATGATCATTACTGCATTACAATCTGCTTCATTCTGTTACTACTACCACGGCCATCTACAAATATCTTCTGTGCATACAATTCTCTAAGGGCTTCTGAAGAAAAATCAACTGTGATAAACGATTAACTTAATTCTCGTTTCAATAATTGAGAACTAGTAGATTTTAGTTTAAAAACAAAGGTTCTATTAAATATTCATTAGTTGGGATTCAAATTTTTTGGTACACAATGCTAGAAGAACATGCTTTATGTTGATGTGTTAGACAATTATAAATGTCACTGATGAGAAAAATAGCAAACTATGTGTCATGATGCAGAGTTCCTCACAACATATCTATATTTATTCTGTTTTTCCCTGTCTATTTTAACTTAATTTTTAAATTTGGTGCAAAAATTTAACTCATTGGTTGAAAAAGTCTAGCTTGTTTCCCAGTTTAATTGTGGATATTGATTAAAACTAAGCTGTTCTTATTAGTATATATCTATGTATGTGGATAGAACCATTCACATATATACAAATTTATTTGAAAATATGCACATGTAGAATTACAACAATTTTGATTTAGATATCTTTCTTTAATAACTACTTTTGGAGTGCTTCTGATATAGTAGGGTCTGTACTGGCATCTGGACTACAGTGGGAGCAAAGTGGGAAGACCTTCCAATCCTCTGGGAGCTTAGTAAAGTAAACACAGAAATAAGATTATAAAGGGTTACCGAAAGATTACATTGGACTACAAAGTACCTTTCGTTAGTGTTGCAATTTTGTTAAAGTTGTTAGGTGTCTTATGTGAATGATTTATGATGAAATGTGGAAAATAGTCTTCAAATAAGGCAGTAATTGTAGAATTCCAGTTAGAATGAAGGGAACATGCACAAGCCCTTTGCATTAGAGGGTTACTGTGACTGGAATTGAGAAATGGGTGGAAGGATGATATGACATAGAGGCAGAAAAACTTTCTATTCAATCGCTGTACACTGGTCATCTATTGGTTACGCGTTGGGATGCTAATCCCAAGGTCAGTGGTTTGAAACCATCAGCTAGTCTGCAGGCAAAAGATGAGGCTTTCTGCTCCGATGAAGAGTTGGCATTGTGTGAACTCACCAGAGCACTTCGACCCAGTCCTCAGGTGGCTTCCAACAATGAAAGCAAAGCACACCACCTTTGCAAAAACTACAAATGGGGACAATATTCAAATTGATCCAGTTATCATTTGGATTCTGTATTTTTATTTCCTTCTGAACTGTCCAGAATAAATGCATATTGTATAGATACTTGTTATTGTGATTTCATCATGTGCATCTAGATTCCACTATCACAATGACACAATCTAGTTTTATGAACATCTTCTAATTAAGAGCGTTTATTTCAACTATCTCCTCATGAATGATTCCTACAGGAGAAATTTGTGCAGAGTTTAGCACAACGTTAGGAGCAGTTTGATGGTCGTGTTGACGGTGTTTAGTTTTGATGGTTCAGAATACTTTGCCCTTCAATTTTACAAAGTTTATCCATTTGAATGATCTTGAAGTTTGCCTGTGATAATTAGTTTGCCATTTATGTTCCACAAAATCCAATGTAACCTGCAGCAGACACCAAAGAACAAAAACCATCATTGTGTGACCACCTTCCCCACATAAACGCTGAAGACGAATGTGTGCATAAGTGTGGTGAAGAAGGCTGATGGTGCCCGGCTATCGAGACCTATAGCGTCTGGGGACGTAAAGGCTTGAAAGTAAACAAGTGGCCATCTAGCCCAGAAGCAACAAAGCCCACATGGAAGCAGCACACCAACATGTGTAATCATGAAGGGCCGAAGGAACCAGGCTTCAAACACCAAAGGCGGGGGTGGGGGGGGTGGGTGGATCATATCCTCGTCAATGAGGGTGGCACGTGATGGGGACCCAATGCCCAGCTCTAGACAACTGGACATACCTTGCAGAGGGGTAGTGGGGAGATGAGTCACTTCGGGTTCAGTATAGCAATAATGAAACCCACAGCCTTCCTCTAGTTCTTAAATGCTTCCTCCCCCCAACTACCAGGACCCCAATTCTGCCTTGCAGACCTGGTTAGACCAGGTGATGCACAGAGGTACAGAAGGGAATTGGAAACTCAGGGAATCTAGGACAGATGAACCCCTCAGGACCAGGGGTGACAGTGGCGATACCAGGAGGGAAGGGGGGTGTAGAAAGGGGGAATTGATCACAGGGAGCTACATATAACCTCCTCTCTGGGGGATGGGCAACAGAGGGGTAGGTGAAGGGAGTCGTCGGGCAGTGTAAGATAAGATATAATAATAATTTATAAATTATCAAGGGTGCATGGGGGAGGGGGGAGAGGGAGGGGAAAAAAGGAAAATGAGCTGATTCTGGGAACCCAAGAGGAAAGCGAATTTTGGGAATAATGAGGGCAACAAATGTAATAGATGTGCTTTACACAATTGATCTATGTATTGTGATGAATTGTATGAGCCCCAATAAATTGATTTAAAAAGAAACAACAAACCAATGTAACCTTTCACAATTGACACCATAGCCTAAATCATAAATAATATTTAAAAAAAAAAGACTCACTTCAAGAAGAAGACTCAAGCTGTAAAGTCATGGTGCTGAAGTAAATCTGGGGATGGTTATCATATAACCAATGGGCGAATAGTGGCCAAATGTGACATAAGTAGACCACCTATGCATACCTGTTTAGAAAGCCATGTATCTGATGTCATCTCATATTTCTGAAACAAACAAACAAAAAATAAATGCATGAAAAATCTAAAGACCAAAATGAGCATATGTTAACTTTAGTTTTATTTCCATTGTAATTCATTAGCCGTGCCACCCATGGCCCTCCTCAGTTGGTGAAATTCTATGAGAGGTATTACTGATTTAAACGGAATGAATAGAGAATCGGGCTTAAATGATCATTTAATTTAAAATCTCTTCTTTGGAAACTCCTTTAAAACGATAAGAAGTATGTTACCAGAGACGGAAGATCATTTACCAGCTCTGTTGGCTTACTTCATTCAAACTCTTTTAAACCACCAAATTAAAGGCATATCTAAATTAGAGTCGGTAAGGTAGTCTGGGTAACACTTGAATTGGGGCAGACTAAGAAGTTTCTGGGAGTCCAGTAAGGCCAACTATCTTTCCACAAGCAGAACAGACATCTAGAATTGTTGCCATACAGGAGGGAAGTGGCGATGGGTTCAGTGGTGAACCTGTCCCCATGGAAAATCCACCTGGACACGAGATGAGGTATATAAAGGCATTCTGAGGCTCCACAAATAAATGAAATTTGCCTGGTTTGGAAGCCAGCTATGAGGGGGAAGGTTTTTTGTTTTTTGGTGGGTTTTTTTTTTTTTTTTGCTGACTTGTTGCATTATCAGCATTTAGTGCTTTTGAAATTTAGGGGGAAGAGTGCAGCTTAGAGATTGTTGGGGTGCCTATTATTCTTGCTAAGCTCCTGCTCTGAACAGTGCCCTCCTCAACTCTACACATCATATAGAGACATCCTTATTAAAACTTTCAAAGACTCTGGGTAAATGTCAGCAATAAAATTAACAAGCGGATAGTCTTTTAATAAATAATCCAGCTCTAGCATAGGTTGTTTTTACTTTTATTCTAAAATTGTTATCAGGTGTACTTCAAATTTAGTGAAAACAATTATACATTTGAAATACCAAAATTATATATTCACTGATTGTAAAAATGTATAGTTAAATAAAATTTTAGTAATACTATTTACATATAATGAATTCTCAAATATCTTAGAACTTTCTAAAAAAGTATCTGAATACAAATAGTATACTTTATTTAATAAAATTCAATAAAATATACTACTGTTTCAACTTTACAATAAGTAGCAATTTCAAAATATTAATAATAGTATATTTACAGATACTTTTGTACTAGTTTCTCTTACAAAAGTTTTATAATCATTACATTCATATTGATCACTTTCTCTTTTTAGCGTTTTCCTTATCAATTTATCTTTGCTGCATGCAGTCATTAGGGAAATCTCTAGCTCAATCATTTCTTTGATTCTCTGTATGCCAGCTGTAAATTCTTGGTATTTCTAAAGCATAGACCAAAAATCTATATAAATGACATTGCTTATTAGTATCATCAGTTATTTTAGAATCCAGACGAGTGTAAAATCTCGCCTGCAATTATGTATCTCAAGATTTTCATTATGGAAGATAGTAAAATGTTTTAAATAAATCAATACAATATAATAGCATGGCAATAAAGTATCAGTAAGGTTTTACATCACTATGTTCTTCCGAACATTTAAAATATAATCTTGCAGTTACTGATAAAATAATAAAATATTCAGAGTATTTTATATAGTAAAGGTGATAGACTTTTTCATATGAACTAGGCTACATTTTATTTACCAATTTTTATGTCACTCCATGGCAAATTTCACAAGAAACCAGGCAGAACACTTTAAGAAATAAATGTAGAAAGCATAGTAAAAGCTTATAATCTAAGTAGATGGAAATTATGACCCAAGTAACTCAATAATATAACCAAAATGTCAAGTTCATCAGTAAAATCTAATTTACAAATGCTAGACTCAACCATTTCTATTGTCCACGTTTTTGCTAATCATTCCAATTAAGGAAACTTTGGGGGCTTTTTAATTTCTTGTTCAAGCAAGAATTGTTGAAAGAAGGTATTGAGGTATGATTTGCCAATGGTGAAGTGTGCGATTTTAAGAGCACCATTTAATGAATTGTAACCATTTGATTCACCTTCCATTGAGTTACAGGATATTTCCCTCTCCCTCCTCCCATGCTTCTGGCTCCTTCTCAGTGGTACTACCCCAAATAACCACTACGCAGATTCCCTCTGCATAGATTAATTTTGCTTTATTTTAGAAAATCAGGTCATTAAAGTCTTGCATAAAGATTCGTGTGCATACCATATGCATTTCAGATTCATTCTTGTTTAGTGCACCCATAATCTGTTGCATTTTAATTGCTGGATGGAAGAACATTGTATAAATGCTTGTATACCTCATTATTTTTTACTGGTTCTCTATTAAGTGGTAGTTTGTTAGCAATTTTGAATAAAGCTATGGTCAAGGGTCTATTTGTGTATGCATGCTTTTTATTTCTTGCAAAATATCTGAGAATAAAATTAGTGAGTCTTAGGGCTTCCACACAGTGCTCTAGGATCATAACGGATTAAGTCTTGGGCTGCCCACCAAAGGTCAGTGGTTGAAATCTGCCTGCCACTCTGTAGGAGAAAGATGAGACTGGTCGCTCCTGTAAAGAGTTCCAGTTTCAGAAACCAAGGGAGCGATTCCCTTTTGTTCCCTAGGATCACGCTGAGCTGGGTTTTATTTTGGTTTAGGATACACATGGTCAACTGTATCCGAAACTACCATTTCCTAAGGTCATTTGGTCATTTTTCCATTCCCAGCAACACAGAATGTTTCCACTTCTCCACATCCTCATTGAAAGTTGATGTTGTTGCCCGTTGATTGTTTGGCTTACTAAACATGTTAGTCCTTCTGGTGGGGTCTGTGACCCCTGAATGAGAAAAATGGTTAAGCGGTGGACTCCTGACTGACATGCTGGCAGCTTGAACCCACAAAGAGACACCTCAGAATAAGGCCTGCTGATGTGCTTTCGAAAGGTGACAATCTTGACAACTCCGCTGTGAAATTCTACGCGAGAAAACCAGTAGTTACCAAGAGCTGAAATAGACTTAAGGCGAATGGTTTTGGCATTTTAGTGGCTATCACGTCTTACTGTGCTTTAAAATCTACCTTTTCCTAATGTTCAATCATATTTGGCATTTTTCAGGTTTTTATTGGCCACTGGTATACAGTCTTTTAAAACTCTGTTTATATTTTTGTGTGCTTGCTTTGTAAATTAAGATGTGTGAGCTCTTTCTACATTCCTTGTTGCAATCACATGTTGTGAAGTAAGAGGTCAGTAAGTACTGCTACTAGGGTTCCAATTTATAGACACACAAATTGATTGCCAACAAGATGTGTTTAAACATTTATCTGCCACACTGGAATGGCTGCAAAGCCGTTCTCTCAGCAGTGCATTTAATCTCTTTAAAGTTCCTCCAAACAAAATGTCCATTCAAAACAATACTTCCTAATGTGTTTTGTGGTTTTTTAATTCTTAGATGGTCATCTAAGAGGTTATGCAGCCATGGTGTGGGATCCCAGTGAGGTGATCATTCCACTCAGAGGTATATGGTAAGTTCTCACAGCAAGAATTGTCCTATGATCATTTCGTTGGGAAACCTTCCTTCATCTCACCGTCTCTACATCCCTGATAGTCTCCCTTCCGACATCTTTCTGTTCACAAAACTCAAGTCACCTTTAAAAGGAACACAATTTGCATTCCCCAAGGAGGTCAAAGCTGCCATTTTGGTGTGGTTTAAATCAAGCGCACAGAACTCTTCGGGGGAAGAGCAGGGAAATGGAACTACCATTATCAGAAGTTCATAGACCTAGGAGGATGGTATGCCGAGAAATAGTAGCTTTACGTTTGGATACTTTTTAAAACCCAAAATTGTATCATATGGTATCACATAGCAGTTTTGAGCTAACCTCCTATTGGCTCCTCTTCCGTTGTTGCCTATTCGTTTCCTTAACAGTCCCTTTGATGAGAAGTTTGTAATTTTAAAGTTACATAATGTACTTATTATTTTTATGGTTATTGCTTTCTCTATTCTAAGAAGTTGTTACCAAGTCAAAAGAGGGAGGCAATAACCCCATATATTCCATTACAGAATTTATAGTACGAGCTTTTAGATTAGCAGCATTAATTTATGCCAATTGATTTTAGAACATGGTATGAAACAGTAGTCAAACTTTTTTTGTTTTTCCCTACAGGTGGATACCAGTTGTTCAAACACCATTTTTTTTTTATGGAATTTCTTTGGAGCCTATATTGCAAATCAATTGATGATATATATGTGCATTTATTTCTGCAATCGGACTTCAGTTCTATTGACATATGTGAGTATCTTTACACCTACACCAGAATCTCTGGATTTCTGTGTCCTTCCAGTTGTACTTGAGTTTAAGTAGTCTGAATCCTCCAACTTGGCCTTCTTCCACAGCATTTGGTCTTTCTGGTCCGTGGCATTTCCACATACATTTTACAATCACCCCGTTTCTATATAAACCTACTGATATTTTAATTGAGATGATACACAAAGGATAGTTCCATTTGTGAATAACTGACAGCTTACCATACTAAGCCTTTGAATGTGAAACATGTCAACGCATCCATTTGTTTAGACATTTAAAAAACTTCCTCTCAATGATGTTGATAATTTTCATAAACTATTGCAACACGTGGATCAATGTATTTAATATTCTAAAGACTTGAACATAAAAAAAAGACGAACAATATTCTAACTTGTTTTGTATCTGATTGTGCTTGGAATATAGAAACATATTCTTTCTGTTGCACTTGTTTATTCTCAAATAAGTGCAAAAAGAAGTTATAACTAGTATGGAAACACTTTCAAGACACCATCCACATCTTTACCTTTGTTTATATCTTGAATGATTTTCTTTATCATTATATTTCTCTCTTCACATTTTCCTAAACCATTTGAGGGGAAGGTGGAGGTATACCTTTGCAACACCAAATGAAGCAGAGATAAAAGTACATGTATATCTCAAAATATTTATCAAGTTAGCTTGTTTTTTTCTCGTAGAACCCTAAATTATGTCAGTGATTATTTTAAGGAACAATTATATGTTCTTATATAATCACTGTAAAGTTTTCAAAATCAGGAAATTTAGTACACAGTTTAATGTTGCTATATTAAATGATTTTCCTGCATCCTGGCATTTTGTTTTAAAAATTTTATGTACACAATCCTGTCGTCTGCCAATAAACACCAAATTTCTCCTTACCAATAGTTATCATATTCATTTCTTGACAGGTTACACTAGTTAGGACTTCCAGTATAAAGACGCATATTAGAAAGAATGGATACCCTTGTTTTAATCTTGTGGTTACTGAAACCAATATTTCATTAACTGTTTTATTTTTTGGCAATAATCTTTTCTCAGATTGTTGATGTTTCTTTCTATTCTTTTAGATGTAAATTTATTATCATGAATGAATGACTAACTTTTCCATCTGATTTCTGGAATACTGATTTATTTTTCTCTGTTTAATTGATATGATGAATTACATTGAATAATTTGCAATATTAAAACCATCTGTAATCTCTAGGTATAAACATATTTAGTAATGACGTACCTCTATCCTCTATTTACATGTTTGTGAATATTTTGTAGTATTTTATTGTATGTTAATGAGAGGTATATTCTAAAATATTATTAAATAAATTGAAGGAATGAAGATTAAATGAAAAATTTTAATTTAGTGGGTAAGTAATACTGGAATCTTGAACAGGAGTACCAGGGATATAATAGAAGCTAGCAATTCAAACTAATTGCACCATTTCCTCTGCAAATGCATTAAAAACTGAAACATGCAGAATTAATCGCAGACTTTATAAAAAGTAACTATAAAATAAAATACAACCTGCTTTCAAATCATAGTGATTTAAAAGGAATTTTGTTTTGAATATGCTGTATAACATTAAGAACACAGGCAACTTTTTTATTTGATAAAACTAATCTCAAGTAAAGGGAATACATTAATTTTGAATGTTCTAAAAATATAAAAAAGAAAGATCTTTTTCTAGTTAATTTGAGTCAAAATATGGAAAGAGACCTTATATTTGAACATAATACTAATATGATGGAATAAATTTATTCTCCATATCCAAGCATTTGTATTTTAAAGATAAGCTTTTATTTCCTACTTATGTTGGAGCTTTGGGGATTAAAGCATGCGTTCAAAATTATTATGTATATATGTATATTTGAGCTTTTAAATATTGACACATTGATATTAATATATGTGCATAGGTATATATATATGCACCTATGCATACGCTCTTTTTCCCCCTCCTATATTTGTAAGTTAAATCTTGACATCTGTGTACAATCTCTTTTTGGAAAGCGACATGAACTATTTCCTTTTCAACATAAGATCAACATGCTACTCACTCTGCTACACGCTCCTGTCGTGGTCTCACACACTGTGAGGACGGAGATGTTCTGGGGCCGATTTATCCATCTGACCACTGTCTTGGTATTACTGACCCACTTGACCATAGTGATATAATATTCTCTGGTTGGAAACAAAATGACAATTTATGTTTAGAGCCAGAGATTCTGGACAGTGTCAAAAATACACGCTTGTTATTTTATACACAAGAATAATTACAGCTCTATCAGGAAGCCAATACACAGTAGCTTTTATTTACATATGGGTGCACATTTGATATTTTAAGCAATACACATATTAATGCTATATGTGCGCATGTTTATATACACATACTCATATGCATACCTATTCATATATATGGAAATTTAGGAATACTTTAGAATGCACTGTGTCCAAGGAAAAAATACATCATTGGAAACATAAAAAATATATTAGAAATTTATTAAGGAAGCGTGATGGTTGCTTACCAAAAAGTTGGCAATCTGAGCCCACCTAGTAAGCTATGGGAGAAGTACTCTAGGGATCTGTTTCAATAGAGATTACAACTTAGAAATTCCAAGAAGCAGTTCCATGCTGTTACTTTATTCCTATGTGGCAAAAATGGACTTGACTGAACATATCAAAAGTTTGTTAACAAATTTTGAGTTTCTCTTATTATATTTGCAAAATAATATATCTTTAAACTATATTTATTCTTTTTAAAGATTTAATCAATAGCCAACAAGGCAATAGCCATTTATAATAAATAACCAATTAAAATGTAATAACCAACTAAGTAAATACATTCATTCTGATATTCATATGTATTTCTTATATGTTATCCTCTCAGTCATAATATTCTATTTTGGTGTTTGTCTGTTTTAGATCAAGGATTATGGCCAGTATTCAATTCAAAATATTTTAACCATAGATCCTATTTTTAATCAAAACATTTATTAATAAAAAGGATATTAAACAGAAGATCTGAGAATTATATTTTTGATAGCGTGAAGGTGCCAACAAGTTGTGATTATAATGTACTCAGATTGGTTTCAGATGGGAAATAGATATATATTTGTCTATTATGATGCACTGTAAGTTATATGTTTACCTGTACTACATCACAAAATCCCTATCCTCACACAACAAAATGCAGTCATTAATACTCCAACTGGTGCTGAAATGAAAAAACACAATTCTTCTGCAAACTTTACCCTATTATGATAGACGAGAGCGTTTAAAATGGGTTATAAAATAGCATCCGTGAATATTGTCTTACAACTAATCAACCTAGTTTTTATGTAACCTAGAAAACGTCACCTACAAAGAAAATCCTTGTGAACGAATCATGTGTCCTTAAACACATCCGGGTTAGACTTCCAGCTGTCCTTAAACACATCCGGGTTAGGCTTCCAGCTACGCACACCCTTCCGCCATAGTGTGACTGAGTAGCTAGGCTTCCTCCAGAAAAGCCCTTAGCACCTCAAAGAGTAGGTGTCAGTAAAAGGGCAAATAGAAATAGTCAGCCATTGAAGCCTGCCATATTTTCTTCCCCAATCTCGCTAAGATATCTGGCAGCTTTTCCCAGCCAGCTGAAATTGCCTAGAAACCCAGTGGCATCGTAATATGAAATGTGTCCTAAATAAGAGTTAGCAAGACCACTTTGAATCAATTGTACAGCTGCTTTAGGCAGAATCTGGGGCTAAATCAACGATGCTTATAATAATACAAAGCACAATGTACTATGTTTTGTTTGAGCTGATTAGCTGTGCGCACGTGATCATATTTGGCAATGTGAATCTTAAAAAGCACAAATACAAATAATAACTTTTAATAAGTTTATTGAGATAAATCATCATGGAGAAATGATGGTGGGAAATAACAGCAATCTGAAAAATAAGAGCTGAATAGACTATTTTGAAAATATATATTTCTTATTAATATGCATCAATGGTGCTCACAAGTGAGGTGAAAATTAATTTACTTACAAAGGAAGTGAACCAAAGAATGAAAAATCAAGGAGAATTTAGAGAAAATATAGGTAGAGCAGCTATAGAGAAGATTCTCAACCCCAGTCATAAATGCATCTTAATTGGCTCTTTCATAATATTATATTTTGTGCCAAGTAAAATGACAAATTGACATGAGTTATTTCAAAGTAAATGAGACTAATAACAAATGAAAAAAATTAAATAGTCATCTGAGTTCTGTTCTTAATGTACACTTCATGTGCGATTATATAAGTAGAGCTCCTTTTTAACTGTTTCTACAGATTTTGACAAATTATATTTATTGTCACTGATGAAATTATTTATTTTAAAAGAGGATTTAATATTTTGGAAACAACTTCAAACCAACTAGTGCAAATCTGATAGATATTATTATTTTAACAGGAAACACTCATTTATATTTTTAAGTGAAAATCGTCTATCTATAATTGACTAAGCAATCTGCTTATCAGTTTATACTTCTACTTAATCTCATTCCAGGACATTTGAACATACCATATCTTATACTCATACATTAAATTAAGTCGTATGTTGAATAGCATAGAATTCACCTTTCTAATGCTGGGGATGACCCTGATCATATGACACCAATCTGAAGAGCGAATCATTGCCTTACTACCACAATTTCAAATGTTGGGATTTTCATAATAAATTGCGGAAGATCCCTCAGATGCCTGTATTCTTCCCTTCCTTTCCCAATAATCCTAAGGTATTCTTATGAATCATATATGCTTAATCTGATATTTTATTAATGCTAAGACTTCCCCTAAATGGGGTAGGTGGTGGTGTTGGTTAGGGAAGTATCCTTATCCGAACATGCTACCTTTCATGGTCTATCAGCTATAGAAGTGGTTGTCCTAAATGTCATCTCATACACTCATTACATCTGGCTTCCCACGGCCAGGGGCCAAATGAACTATCTCTTTCTTATAACTAGTTTTCCAGGTCCTTCCTAGTCCCTAGGACTACGGATTTCTCAAAAATTATTAAGAATGTGATTCCCTGGAGCCATGGAGCAGAGTAGAGGGACTGCACGCATCGACAAGTGCTTTCTCTCAGCTGAGTGGCTTAATACAAGGAACTTAATTGTCCCAGAGGAAATGCTGAGTGGATGTCCCAACGTCACCATCAGACAAGTACGTTAGCTCCAACCCTGTGCTTGTAGTGGCCTCGCATCTGGTCACTACTCTGTGTTCGTGGCTCAATCTTTGCACAAATAAGTAATTTTGAGTCATTTTCTTACAAAAAACAAACGAAACAAAACAGGATTTCTACTCATAAGTATATTGTGATGGCATCCATGGCAGACTCATAGCTAGTGTTCACAAAACAACAAAACAAATATATAAACCAATCAAATAAAAATAGGCAAGCAGGGCAACAAATAAAACATTGGCAGTAGAGTGGATTATGGCTTATGGTGCCCTCCTGTGTATTAGTGTAGAAATGTGATCCGTAAGTTTTCTGTGGCTGATTTTTCAGAAATAGACTGTTGACCTTGATCGTGAGGTGATTCAAATGGTCGTTTTTTTTACTTAATAACCCAGCACTTAACTCCTTATGCCATTCAGATTCTGTGTGCTATAAAGATTTCTCTTAATAACTGTATCAAACAAAGAGAATCCATTAGGGCACGTCCACTAACATGGATACATTTTTGAACGCTATCTTTTTGGGAAGTTCAGGTATTTCTACCAAGAATATGAAATTCAGGTAAATGAAAGTTCCGTGAAATGGAATGGGAGGCACAGAAAGGATACACAAGGCCCAAAAGGAATGGCAGGCCAGTGAGCAAAGGCCAATTCATCCCAGAAGATTCATGGCCACAGAAGGATTTACAATGAGCAAAAGCAGGCCAAACACCCTCTTAGCCAGCCCAGGGGACAGGGCAGAACTGCCCGCTGTGAGTTCCTGAGATTGTAACTCTGTACTGGAGCAGAAAGACTCATCTTTCTCCCATGGAGCAGCTGGTGGTTTTGAACTGCTGTCTTCACAGTTAGCTGCTCAAGTGGTAACCGCTATGCCCCCAGGGCTCCTGTCCATATAACACCTACCTGGTCCATGGAAAAAAATCCACAGGAGTCATGACCACAAAAGTGTTTATGCATTTGCCACTAGGACTTACATATATCTTCATATAAATTCATAAAAGTTCCAATACAATTATGAATTCTTAAATGACACTCTTAAACTAAGAATTTGCAAGGTCATTCTTCCCTTAAATTGGATGACATGTGTATCTACCGTGGGGGCTGAGATATCAAAAGAGGGCATTATCTTAATTCTTACTATGGTGCACTCAGATCAACACTCAACTGAATTACTATTGAGGGGAAATTATACTCGTTTCATGAATGGTTCTTTTCCTGAATTAGAAATAAGACAAAAAGAATGGAGAAGCAGTGGAGTGAAAAAATTAGAAAAATACATTACGCTTTTCCCCAGGTTTAAAAAAACCTCTCCTTATAAGTTTTTTTAATGGCAAAATGTAGAAATTACATTCTTTGACTATAATTACACTAAATATTTTTTCTAGGTTAGGGACCTCTTCCTAATATAGTTGCAAACATGGCTTGTTTTCAATAAATAAATCAATAAACCAAATAAACGTTAAGTAACCAAAATAATTCAGGTCTTCAACTTCAAAATAAAACTTCTCTCGAGTGTCGATCAGCGAGTAAAGTTTGTAAGCTAGCTCAAGTCATAAGAAAACATCTTTTATCTTTTTATCCTAATAATTCAAATCTGGGTATATTCATGCACTCATGGGGATAAGTAAGAAGATATGTATTTGATACAAAATTAGAAGCAAGAATACCAAAATCTGAAAATATGGCTTTTCCACGTATGCTTCATCTAGGTTTATACCCTCCTGAAGATGGTAATTACCTCTCTCTGGCCCATTCTCTAAAAGAGCTGCACGACTGGTTTATAACATGTCAAAATGGCAGTTTCCATATCTCCATGGTTTCTAAATTGTGGTGTTTTTTTTAATGCTCAGAGTTTTGGGAACAAAAATGGTCTGAAGGGACACAATTATTTCAGGAGAGTAAGTAAATGTTCCCAATTAAGTGCTCCTCTTAACATAGGTAAATGGCCATTATCTCCTTTTCCTGGTGTTTATTTTACAAATGC